TGCAATAACATTACAAAAACACAATTTTTCATAATATTGTTTCCCGCCCCCAAACTCCTCATAATTTTGTTCAAATATTATATATACAAGGGTCAGTTCACTTTTTCAGATAAGTGTAGAGCACTCACCCCATTTGTCGCGTGGTTCTATCGAGACATTATACTTTTAATGTTAAACTTTCGATGGGCTCATTTATTTATTTATTTATTGATTTATTTTGATGAGGGACAAGTGTACACAATCAAATGTGAAACACTACAACATTTATAGCCCAAGGCTACATTTGCACTGTCGTACCCTAGGAGGGCTTTTAAGGCCGTTAAACCACATTTTACATTATAGTATTCACATTCTACAAAAAGCAGGTGTTCTCCAAACTATTGCTACTGAAAAAACTGGGTTTGTTATTTTAACAAACGATTGAGTTCGTGTTTAAACACCAGCCCAGTCAGAGTTCAGTTTTAGCAGATGGGGCTTAAAAGAGTGCCGAGCATTGCCCCTGGACGAGAGGAAGAACCGACTGTGGTCCTCCTGAGGGGCCTTTTACTTCCCATGAGCGGCGCCTTGTTTGCGGATCTCAGAGGAATATGAGAGCCAATCAGCCAGCGGGGCTCGACTGTGCAAAATTTATTACATAATTATTACAAATGTAATAAAAATTACCAAACTAAGAAACTGTAGTCTCTGCAACACCTGGCAAGTGTTGTTTATATTGGGCTTTTTGTCCAATATTTTTATGGCTCTGTTATTAAGGAGCATTCTTACTGGGTTTGCTTTTAATGGTAGATGCTGTGTGCCTGGGACCAGCAGGTGATACAGTAACTTATCTGAGAAAAAAAATCTAGCCGTGTAAGAAAGATATTGGCGGCGTATTGTAAAGGTTAAACAATTTTAATCTTTGAAAGGGCTTTCCAGGCGGTGCTCCCAAACCTGTGGACCGCCCTCCCACCACACCTGAGGGCCCCACAGTCATTGGAGACACTTCCAAGAGGACTTAAAAATTTTCTGTTTCCTTCTTAACATTGTTTTAAACATGTTTTAACAAACATATGTGTGTTTTATTGTAGTTGTGCCTTAGCACTTTCGAGATGTGTATGTAAAGTTGATTACAAATTAAAGGTACTTATGATTATTATTTACTTAATTGGAAAACTTATATCAAACTGGATTTTGTCGCTTTTCCCAAGTTCTTGATTTAATGTGACGTCAAATTGCAAGTGAGAGTCCAGGGGAATTAGGCCTAAATATTTGAATTCTCTCACATGTCAATGTGTTGCCAGTCAATTGTGAGGGGTAGGTTCAGAAGGATGTGTTCTAGATGGAAATTTTGTTTTTTATAATCAACGCTCAGCCTTAAATAATCCAAACATACTGACACACTAATGACTCACTAGTATGCAAAAAACTTTGCATTGAACAAACATGTATGATTAATTGCAAGGGAAGATATAATGTACCCAGCTTTATTGAGTGGGTGAGTTTTAGATTTTCGCTTCGAGGGGGGCAACATGGACACTCCCTGAGTCCCCACCAAATGGTCTCTTGAATCTACTGTATATACTGTATATATATATAAATCTATATATATATTATATTTACTATTATATATTATATATATATAATCTAATTATATGTATATACAATATATAATATATAGATGTAAATGTCAGAAATGTATTATTACTATATTTATATATATATTATATATCTATATATATATTATATATATATAAATCATATATATACCTACATTTTATGAATTAACATTCTTCTCATTTTCCATTTAATATCAGAAGTACTTCACGTTATACATTCACACCATGTAACACTACAGGTTCATGTCGAGCTAACCATACCAGCAACAAATGTTATAAATAAAAGTATTACTAATTTGTTGGCATTTTGACGAAATCTTACAGTAATGTGAAAGAACACGAGACAAAGTTCTAAAAGTATTTGGGTTCCTCTTACAGACAGTAGTAGGTTAGTGATGTTGATATTAAGTTATGTGGTATTTAGCGAAATGTGAGGGAGAAACTATTCTGTGATATTTCCTTAAATCTTTTGTTTAGCCTAAAAATAAACAGGAATTAATTGGTAACCTATCAGAGAAAAGAGATTTCAGAAACTCAACTGGGGAAGAAACTATTAGTAGAATACACTGAGGTCGTATTCTAAGAATATTCATTCTTGCAAGCTTGACGTTTTTCTAATTTGCCCAGGAAAAAGTGCTATAAGTCATTTGCCAAAATCCGGGATACAAATTTAATGTAGCTATTTAAGAAAACAAATGCTCATGCAAGAATTAGAAAACATATTTGGCATTTTAGATCAGGTATTCGGATAAGTGACGCAAGAGGGGCCTAAACTATGACATGAGGTAATAACATTTCTCAAATTAATTACAGAGAAGCAGAATCATTCTTCTCATGACATTTCTCTTCCTTCTTCCGTCCTCTGCTGCTCTGTGATAACCTTGATCCTCCTTGGTTCTGGAGATGTGTCTTTGGCCCCCTGGGCGGTTGTAAAGATCAGGTTTATCTCGTGTCCGTGAGCTCGGTCGTGGTTTACAGCCGCACGCGTAAGAAGAACAGTGGTTTGCACAGAGGGTGTCGAGCGAACGAGAGTATAAAGTACACACAAGCCTGGAAATACCGAGAAATGACAGCAGCCACTTAAGGAGGCGTGTTCTGTGAGCGTGCGGTGGTGGCGGGTGGTTGTGGACTGGTATGTTTCACAAGGATCTAAAATATCGGATTGCTCGCTTGTCCAACGTCTGCTACCAGACGTGTTTAAACTTCAAATTATTTATTTTATTGCACTGCAGGGTCTCACAGAAATGCTTTTTTGGAAAAGATCAGAATCAAATTAGAATTTACAACCGATTACGGCAATCCAAACACTAAACATAAAAAAAACATGAACTACAAGCATTAGTTTCATAATTGAAGTGCAGTTTTTCTCTTGTTTACCCAAACATAAAACTCACTATGGGGCGACAGTGGCTCAGTTGGTAGAGCATCATTGGCCTGAGCATTGGCGTTCGAGCCAACCAAAAGGACCTGCTCTATAATCCCACTGATGATTGCTGTTGTTGTGTCCTTGGGCAAGACACTTAACCACGTTACCTGAAACCCCCGATGAATAATCAAGGGCTCTGGGGACTCACCACCTGCAGGCGGATCCGTGAGGGGCTGGAGCTATGTGTCCAGGATACAGCTTGACTTGTGCCACCATGACCCAGAAGAAAATAGGTTAAGAGAGAGGAAAGAAATGGTATGATGGGATTGGAACTCACTACTTCAATGTGGGCCTACTTTCTCATTTTTCCATTGGGTGTTTGTATTAGAGTTTTTCAGTTGCCGACGTAGGGGGTATACAGGACAGTGGTTGTATCTCAGGGCACTCGACAAACAACACCGTTTATGGACCTTGTGGATTCAATGGTTCAATGTTTTTTAAAACATTGCATTTTTTTGTGTTTAATTGTAGATCTGGGTTGGCGAATACAATGACCTACTGTTGTGATTTGAGAACATGGAATGGAACTGAAATAGAGCTGAATTACAAGTGTAACTCTGAAACTAGAATGTTTTTCCAAAAGTCTGTTACTTACAGTGTGAAGTAAAGATATGACTCATTACATGCAAAGTGAGTTTATCAATCCTTTTTTTGTTATAAAAGTTGAATACATTGGAATCACCGCTTGTAAAACCCAGTAAAACATCTAATAAAATAAACCAAGTTGTACAGGGAAACCATAAATATACTGTACAACTTATAACAATACTAAGGCATGGCATGTGTACCCTTGGATTCTATCTCATATATTGGTTTTCACATTTTTATGCTGATAAGAGAAATAGCTGGACTTATTTTGCCAATCTTGCTCACAAAGGAAGAAGTAGCTCAGAGAACCTGAATAGGCTCAATGATTAACGGCTCACACATATCTCAACACAAACCATGAACCGACGGAAGGGAAACATTGACTTGAGACTAGACCAGATTTGGGGGATGTATCAGTCGTCCAAGGCTTTTTTGGCTACTGATCTTCTTTCTGTCTTCAAAAAACAAGTAATCTAGAATACCTTATTTTGCTAAGGGGGAAAAAGAACAGGCCAAAAATGTTGAGAAGGCTCTCAAGATGGTGGACGTCATTTTGAAACTCACAAGAGCAAAAAATAGGCTCTTCATGTCCTCGAATA